TCGTTCTCACTGAAAAAGGCAGTAGTCAAAAATATCATCAAGAGCCATCTTTAACTGACGAACTCCTTCCTCATTAGTTTTGTTAATTAAAGTTTCAAGGGCTTCCGAGTCAATTTCAAAATTATCCTGATTAAATTGTTCGTGCCGGCTAAACCAGTCTTGAATAATTTTTTGGGCAATTTCTTTTTTTTGCTCAATATTGTATCCATTTAATTTAACGATTAGCAGGCGGTCACGCAAAGGTGGGGGTATTTTTGTCAAATCGTTAGCCGTAACCACAAAAATTACTCGGGAAAAATCTAATTTAACGTCTAGATAATGATCAAGAACTTCGTGGTTTTGGGCAGAGTCTAAAACATTTAATAAACAATCATGAATAGCAGTTTTATAGGAAGAGCCGGCTTTGTCTATTTCATCTAGCAAAATTAAGGGGTTGTGCGTTTTTGTTGCTATCAGTGCTTTTGCTAGTTGCCCCGTCTCGGTCCCCAAAGAGTTTTCGCTGGTTCCTAATAAAATTGAAGTGTCTGATAAACCTCCCAAATTTATAGAAAAAAACTCTCTCTTTAAGGCTCGAGCTAAGAACGGAGCACAAGTGCTCTTACCTACTCCGGGAGGACCGAACAAACATAAAGCCAAAAAATTTCTTTGTGCTAATTTTTCTAATAAACTTCTTTTTTTTAAACCTGAAAACCCTACTTGTTGCTTGAGAATTTCCTTTGCTTCCTCTAAGTTAATTGGTAAAGGTACTGACTGGTAAGCAGTAATTAATTCTTCAATTTTTTTGATTTTATACTCCAGGGCTTCTCGACGTTGGCTTCCGCCGTGGTACAAATTACTTAACCTTGATTCTAACTCTAACTTTTTAGCATTTAACCTATCAATAACCGCCTCTGTCATTGCTTTAAAAAACTTTACCTGCTAGTTTTTGTTATCTTTTTCTGATTGAATGTCTTCTACTTTTTCATCTTTCTGTTCTTTTCCAGTTGGCATTTTTTGCATTAATTCCTGGGCAAGTTTGGTTAACTCTTCAATGTTTTTTAATTGTTCTTTAATTCTTTCGTAGTTTCTTTCTTCTTGAGGCTTGGCCTTTTCTTCATCAACCGCGTTCTTTAAATCTTGGTATAGTTTGTGAAATTCTTGAAACTTAGGGTCATCCTCTTTGAAATCTTTGTTTTTTTTTAGTTCTTCAATTTGTTTTTCAAAGGAGTAAATATAACCTTCCGCTTCATTTAACTTATCCACATTTTCGCTCATTTCTCGGTCTTTTTCAGCATTTTCTTCGGCTTCACGAATCATGCGATCTTTTTCTTCTTTACTTAAACCTTGGCTGTCAGTGATAGTAATTGACTGCTCTTTGTTAGTTTCTTTGTCTTTGGCCGAAACTTTAACTATTCCGTTAGCATCAATATCAAAAGTAACTTCGATTTGGGGAATTCCTTTTGGAGCCGGTTTAATTCCGGTTAATTGAAATCTTCCCAGAAGTTTATTATCTTTGGTAAATTCTCTTTCTCCTTGGTATGCAGCAATATCTACGCTTGGTTGATTATCGGCAGCGGTGGAAAAGACCTGCGATTTTTTAGTAGGAATTGTGGTGTTGCGGTCTATTAATTTAGTGAAAACTCCTCCAAGGGTTTCAATTCCCAAAGAAAGAGGGGTAACGTCCAGCAAAACCATTTCTTCTTTTGACTCTCCGCTTAAAATAGAAGCCTGGATAGCAGCTCCTATTGCTACTGCTTCATCCGGATTAACTCCTTTGCTCGGCTCTTTACCAAAAATTTCCTTGGCTTTTTTTTGCACGGCTAGCATGCGAGTCATTCCTCCCACCAAAACTACTTCATCTATTTGGGAAACTCCAGCCTGTTTAAGAGCATCTCGGCAAGGAGCAACCAATCTTTCCAAAAGGTCAGAAGTAAGCGACTCCAACTTGCTACGAGAAAACTCTTCGTCAATATGCTTAGGAATGCCAGAAGCATCAACAGCAATATTATCTAGTGAGATTTTG